TTCTTGTGTTTGAAGTCATATCTCAGGTTTGGCACATATAAAGTTGCCTAAAATCGCACAGAATATCTGTCTCATAGTTATACAACTATCTGGAAAGTTTAAAGAAAATTTATCTGTAGGATCTCGAAAAATGTGCCTGCATTCCGCTAGAAAACGCCAATTTGAGATATTTTCATAATTTTGAAGTCATATCTCAAGTTTGGCACATAGAAATTCGCCCAAACTTGCACAGATTATCTGTCTCATAGCCATACAACTATCTGGAAAGTTTAAAGAAAATTGATCAGTAGGATCTCGAAATATGTGGGCCTGCGTTCCTCTAGAAACCGCCAATTTGGAGATATTTTCTTGTGTTTGAAGTCATATCTCAAGTTTAACATATAAAAATTCTCCCAAACTCTCACACATTATCTGTCATATAGCCATGTAACTATCTGGAAAGTTTAAAGAAAATCTATTTGTCAGATCTTGAGAAAATCAAAAATATATTCTAAGTTATTCACTAAAACACTCTATTTTCGAACTTTTCATTTGGAACAGATTTGTCGAAAGTCCTTCTGGATGTTGTTGTCTAATAATACAAGACGTGAGGCGCGGCGACATTATAAATTTTAGAATTGCCCGCGCATTTTAGTACTTTGCCGCGGCTCCACTAGTATTTAACGTTTACCTTCGCGTTTCCCGCTTATTGGACCAGGTGAGCTTGCATGCTTGTGAATGAAGGTGTAAGTACAGCTGTACTGTAGTTTATACCTAATTAACCCCTATACACTGTCACTATGCACTATAGAAACCTGAAAAGTGGTTACTGCATACTGTAGGGAGAAGTGCCAAGACTACCTGCGCTACATAGACGCTGTTGTCAGCACTGCGCACGCGCGCACGAACCTTCCCATCGGGGTATGTGGATAGGTGCTTTTCTTGACTTGTGAAACAAGCGCGCCCGAAGTAGCGCGAAAGCACATGGTTAGGTTTACTTGGGGACCTCAGGCTATTATGTTCATAAATAAAGTCGAGATTCGGCAGGATGACAGGCTGAGCGCGGCCCAGTAAGGTTAAGTGAATCCTTAGAGCCCAGTTTATCTTCTTTTGAGCCCGCTCGTGACAATCCCTTGTAGCGCAATGCACTACTGGGCCGCGCCGCGCATCAAATAATTATTTTTCGGTAATCGGCGAGATGCACCACTGGGCCTCACCGAGCTGCAAAGGATTGACCATTACATTGTTAATGATCTGGCCCGGCGCGCGCTACTTCGTAGCTCGTGCCATCGGGCCATCATTAACATTTCGAGAAGAAAGCGGCGCGCGCTACTTCGAAGAAATTTAGACGAGTAACATCCGTCAATGCAAAGGATTGAAATCGTGAATCAAGACAATCCCGTGATACTCACGTTTTGTGTATCACCTGCATCGTGACATGTGTACAACGTGATAGAAGGACTTTCCTTTAGAGCCCGACGTATATGGAATAATTGGGATGGTTTCCAAACCCAAGATTGGAAGTTTTCTTTAAAGCCCGTGGTTTCTTTTTTAGAGCCCAGCATACTCGGATTAAGCGCGGAATTAACTTAAATTGTTGGTTTACGTTTGGTTTGATAATTTTATTTTAATTAAAACTAAAATTTCTTTTGTCATGTTAAAGTAAGCATTTTTTTGAACATTTAAATATATTAAACCAAAATTTTTGTCCAAATTAAAATTTGCGCGGTTTTTAAAAATATTTTGCGCGTTTTTTCGTCAATTATTACCGTTTGATTTTTTGGTTTATTTTCTAAACTACTTAAACCACAATTTGATCTTTGACATGGCGAGTAAGAGGATATCAAATTTGTAGAATTTTCGATATTTTTCCAAAGTTACACAGATGTTTGTCGCGTCGGAGCGTTTAATAAATATAGCGCAAGTGACAATATCTTACAAAAAATTATCGGCTATTACAATTTCAATATTTAGCCACAAAAATCACTGTTATATGTTAAAGACATTTTTAATGTTTTAAAAATGAAAATTGATCAATAGTAAGTTTTTTGTTTTTTATGCCGCGCAATATAGATAGTTTGGTAAATATATGCAGCGTTTTAATTTTATGAAGTTTATGGTCGTTGTAGTTTTACAAATTTCTCTTCTGTGAGACATTTGTTTATCAATTTTGTAGGTTTACAACCTACCAGGACGCGCGCCGAGTTGGACTCGTCGACGGTCCAATATATGGAACAGATATTTTACGAGTATCACCCGTTAATATCAATTTAGCAATTGTTTTGCTTTTAACTGCAATACAGTATATTGAATTAACACAACTTATCGTTAGACTTATAAATTTATACTGTAGACCCTCTGTGAATTTGGGCTCAGAAACTTTTTAGAACTTGAGTTTGGCTAGGATGTTTTAAATGCAATGAAGGAATCAATCCTGGTCTTAATAGCCCTACACAGACTCGTCCGGTAATCTGGAACACGACCTTACCAATATACCCAAGTGTGCTCAAATCTTAGAAAAAGGCAGTGGCGTAACAAAGGGCCCCGCTGACCCCGCTGTGCAGGGGGGCGCCGTCTTAGGGGGGCGCCAAATCGTCGTTTGAATGTGGGACAATTTCGAAAACTTAACTAATGTACTAGCAAAACTGCGCGTTTTGCTCTAGATACACACTTTTTTAGAGATTTTACCGGCTCATCCTCTAAAATCACCTAATTTGTTCAATTTTAGGGAGGGGCACCAAAAGGGGAGGGGGCGCCAACAGGGGGGCGCCTAAATAAATATCCGAATAAATTTGATTTAAAATTACAATAATATACAAGTATACAATAATATACAAGTATACTAGCAGCTGGCGCGCTGTTAAAAAGGGCCTGACCACACCGCCACTCACATTAGCACAGTTGGTGAAAGGACACAGGCGCTTTTAAGCTTTTATGAGCCCTGGTTTGACCGCTGAGAGTGGCGACGGGTCTGACATTAAATTTGTATTAGTTTTCTTCATATTCCAGTAAAATTTAAGTTTTGCGTTATTTATGATTTTCATGCCATATTAAAGTCACAGCTGCTCACAATACATTATTGCTTACAAATTGTTAAATATGCTTGCTATACACTTGCATTTTAGATACCAAATAATAATAATAATTAAAGTAAAAGCATGAAGATTGAAGAGGTCCAAAACCAACTCAAGCATAACACTAGATTGAACACATTGTCCTGTCTTTTTACAGGAGTTCTGCAAGGCGATGGATTAAGGAGATGAAGAAGAATAAGAAGAGGAAGAAGAGGACATGATTCACCCCGAATTTTTATATAGAACTTTTATGTAGGGCTATTGTTATATTATGTGTATATTGTTTTTATTATTTACTAAATTGAATGCTTTTTTATCAACAATCGGGTAATAAAAAAAAACTATATCTACAAACTTAAAAGTTTGTAATTATATGGTTTCAAACGTAAAGTGTTCATTTTCTATGAATTTCTTTTTGAGATGCCCAGAGAGGCATTATTTATAATGTTATGTTATGTTATGTTATATCTATCACACCCCTATCTGCCATATTAAATCTGCCTACAAAACTCACTGGGAGCTAACAAATCCGTGTATTCTAGAATGAACATGGAGAGCAACTTAGAACAAGAATATATACATTACCGCGATCCAGATTTGTATTGTTACGAATTTGGCACAAAATCTGGTCACCTTTGCCACTCCACTGACCCTTGTTCAGCTCACTTGGACCACTACAAGGTAGGTGGTGTACGTATTATTGTATTTGTGTAAATATGAGACTCCTATATATAATAAAAAGAAAGTCCAGCAACGTGATTGTATCTTTTTTATACAGCAGCTGACACAGAGAATATTTCAGACCCTGAAGAACGGAAGATCAAGAGAGAGAACAAGTACGGACAACACCATCAGACTACAACTTAAACTTAGCAATATCAAAGGTGACCCCGTCGAGGAGCTGAGGTAGAAATCAGCCCAATGGATGTGACGGTTGCGAAAGCTCCCGCAGTCGAGCCCAAACCCGAGTCGATGCCGGTCCAAGATAACACCGGATCGGGATCCTCGGGAATGGTCGAAACTCGGAAGCCGGAACAGCCTGAAACCTCCACCGCCGCTAAACTACCATTAGACTAACCATGAATGAGGTATTTCATTGGACCAAATATGAGTGGGTGCTCAGACTCGATAGTAGCTCCACACTATAGTATTGTATTTATTGCATATTGCTTTGTAAAAATTATTTTTATTTGTGTTAACAAACTTAAAACTAATATATATATACCTACACAGATCATAATGTCAAGACCACAAAGAGTAAAAAAACGCCTCTTAAACTGGCGGATGTTCCACCTGCGTGTGCGAGGCAATATGCCAGAATCCAGTTTGATGATCAAACATATGATACGATCCCGTTTGATAAAATAGTGAGTATAGATTATAGATTGATATTACAATTTTGTTGATATAAGTCACGCAATTATTTGATTCACGATGTCAATCCTTTGCAGCTCGGTGAGGCACAGTGGTGCATCTCGCCGATCTACCGAAGATCTACTTGCGAGAAGAATTATTTGATGCGTGACCCAGTAGTGCATCGTGCTACAACGGATAACTGCACTAGGTGCGTTACCGTCACTAACCGGGGCATGGACCCCGCAATGTTCAAGGAATTTAAGAAAAATTTCGAGAGTAAGTAATGATTATTGTTTATTCATCTAATCTGAGATTCGTTTATACAGACCTAAACACATTAGAAGACACTGACTGATAATATTATGAATAAACGCGAACGGTTCTGCTTTAGCCGCCACGTTCAATTATTAAATTGTAAATTATATTTATAGATGATGATTCTGGTGGGGAGGTAAAGCATATTGTTTAACCCTTTTTTAGGGTTTATCTAGAGTCCAAATGAAATAAAATAGACAATCAAATAATGGGTACTAATTAATAATCTTCTGCTACGTGTCAAAAAGTTTGCCCCAGCCAGCCCCACCAGATTCAGCATCTATAAATATATCAACAGTATATAAATATCATTTGATTAACCATACAATAATTTTCAGGGTGTTACAATGTAGCAGGAAGAGGAACATCAGGAACTGAAATACTGTAAGTAATACTACAATAACAAATATTATTGTTCAAATGTGTTTTCTCTTGAATATCTTAAAAAATCCATAACATAGAACAGACTTGAAGTATCGATTTGTTTGCAGAACACGGAAACAATACGACTTACATAGAAAAACAAGTTGTAACAAGGAACCAACACCAGAACCAACACCAGAACATGGTAACTATTACTTTACATCATGCAAGAAGATAAACTGGGCCAAAAGAAACTGTTTACACGCAATAATTTATTAATTCACGTTAATCAATTCAAAATTGCAAAGATTAACAATATAGGGGAAATTCGGCTTGATTACAGTTGGTTCTGCTCGACGCTCCATCTTTTTCATTAAAAATAAAATGAGAACAATTTAAGTTGGGTTATATCCGGTCCAACCAATCGATGAATCAGTGTTGCTTTTAAATATCTTACATCAGTTCTATCTTAATGTGAGAACCAACACGAGAAGAATTATTTGATGCGCGGCACGACCCAGTAGTGCATCGCGCTACAACGCAATTATCTATGCATATTTTAATCCTGTCAAGTAACCAAAATATATACAAAAATGTACAACAAATCGAACAAACATATAATAAAATAGGCCAAAATGTATTATATAATACTAGAAAGCCCGTGGTAACAGGGACGAAGCTAGTCTAGTATTCTTTGAAAGAAATTTTCAATCGCATCAAAAAATATCCATCTCAACCGAGGATACAGCCGATTTAAATATAAAACACTTTAAAAGTTTAAACACAACGTAATTAACACAAAACCGATCAAAATAACGTTAAAACAATCTTTGCACGTGCATGTGTGCATTAAAACACCGTTGCTATGGAACCTTTTGGTTGTTACCTAAATTCCTATTTTTCATCTAATTTGCACGTGGGCGGTCGTACATCCTACAGACAGAAATAATTCTCTGAATTATAGTAGAGATGCTAAAAAGTGTGCGTCAGTATGTTGACTGGTAGTGTGTTATAGAAGAAACCTTTCAAACCTTATTTTTATGGCCGCCCAAAGTATCTATATAATCAAGTTTCAATTTATGAATGAAATGATGAATTAGAATTAAAATTAGAATTAGAATTAGAATTAGAATACAAAATAATTTAAAGAAGTTTCAAAATGCTGCGCAGGACATTCAAGTCAGTCAAAAACTGTTATCTAACAATGCCCTTCTAAGAATCAAAACATATAGTAGTATGTAATAAGTTATAGGATATAAGTAAATTTGTTACAGTACTAATATTTAATGTTAAACTGTGCGCATTAAATAGTGACAAGTGTGAATATATTTATGAATCATAATTGTCCTTTAAATACAGATACGAGAATTAACATCGGGAACAACAACTTTTACAGTTACTCTGATATCAGTTATATAACTTGCTGAAAATAACAACCTAATACAATCAGCAAAAACCATTAACTGGTGAGCCGGTAAAGGTGGGATTCAGATACACTGCTGTATACATCGAGGACCACAAAGAAGAGACCTACAATGTGGAGATCTTCCACATAATGAGTTAGTAATTGTCCCTTATCTGAACTTCATTATTTTCGTCTGTGAATGAGTTATTTTACACAACTCTCTCATTCCTGTTTAACTTATTATTTTAGTCATTCGTATTATTATGTGATTTTATATATTTTTTATTTCAATATAGGGCCCCCCCCCCCCCCAATATAATTGGCTGCCAATTCTACCCTTCATATTTATTGCATGCTTCTAACAGCAAAGGCAAGAGCTAACTGCAGTTGAGACTGGAGAGTTAGTCATTTCACAGAATTGCAGAATTTGTCCAAATATTTCCATCTGGATTTAGTAACCCTTTCTAAGAGTGGTTTAACGTTGTATACATACATATTACATAATATTATATCATATTATATCAAACATATAATTTATAATATACTAAACGGCCCGGGTTGAAGCTAGTATTATTCTTTGAAAGAAATTTGTGATTTAATCGTGTAAAAAAACATCCCAACATCCCAATTGAATTATTAATTATCATATAACATCTATTAGGTCAAAAGCAAAAAGTTGCACAGTAACGCATATAAAAACGTGCATGGGCTTCTAGTATATACGATATAATAAGAACGATTTATTAACGATCATTTAATTTAAATACTTCATGCAGATGAAGCTGATCTGTAAGCGCTTTTTGATGTTTGATAAAGTATTTTATTTACACATTATACACATTTAAAGATGTTTATAATTATATTAAATGCCCTTTATTTGTTTGAAAATTGCTCAGAGGTTGGTTGGTTGATTATAAAGTGTGTAAGAATGTAAATGTAAAGGACAATGAGAAGGCAAAGAAGAAACGAAAGACACTTCCGTAAGACACCAAATTACATCGAGTTCTTTTCTTAAAAATTCTTGTTTATCTTCTGATCACATCCAGTTAATTGTGTCGGAGAAACTTGGTTGCCAACGTATATTGCGCAATTGTCGTCAGAACTTTTATGAAATAGCCTTTTTTGTTGTGAAATTAAGGTAGACATGAGGTTTTTCAATAACAAGCCTGATTTTATCATGCAGTTGTTATTTTCAGAAAGGCCAATGTTCAGACTTCAGAATAAACGTGTTTAGCAGGCATAAAACATTACCTTGCTTTAAATTATATTACGAAAGATTTCTAAAATATTGCTACAGGAGGAAAAACCAACGATCAGAACCGCAACAACAGTCACCAGCCCAGTTACCAGCTCAGTCGCCACCCCCATCGCAACCCCCGTCGCCAGCAAAGACGCCAGCCCAGTCGCCAGCTCATTTGCCAGCCCAGACACAAGCCCGGTCGCCAGCTCATTTGGCAGCCCGGTCGCCCGCTCCGTCGCCAGCCCTATCGCCAGCCCCATCTCCACTCGCCAGCCTGGTCGCCAACCCGGTTGCAGTCAGTCAACCCGGCAATGGGTCAGTATTATAAATTGTTAACAATTAACGTACATCATCATAAACGTAAGGCTGGTCGAACACAAATATTTTTTGCAGCAATTACTACTTGTACTTGAAAAGGTCTCCTCCTAGTCGTACGAGTGGCCTGCACCACATAGTAACTCCTTTCTAATTAGACCTCTCCAGTGAACCCTGTCTGTAGCTTGTTGTTCTGCATCTTCTATCGTGATGTTATCGACACCTGTGAAGATTGCTGCATCCTCCCGGACACATGACAACCAGTTTTTCCGAGGTCTACCTCTTGACCTTTTACCATGCTTTGGGATCCAGTGCAGAAGATAGTTGGGTATTCTTTCTTCTGGCATCCTCACCACATGGCAAAACCATCGGAGTCTAGCTGCTTGTACGAAAGTATCAACAGGGGCTATGTTAGCCCGCTTAAGTACATCTAAGATGGCAAGTACGTACGGTACAGGGCTTTAAGTACGTACGGTACAGCTACTTTTAAAGGTACGTACCGTACAGGCCCTATAGGGTACAGACTTTTTTGGGGAAAAAAATGAAACTTTTTTCAAAGTTAGTGGAGTACTTGCAATGTTCCTTTAGTATTATCATAATTTTATTTGAGGTAGTAGTCGAAGAGGAACATGAATTATTAAGATAGTAAATTAACAGTGAGAAATAAAAATGAACAGTTGCAGTGACAGATAAAATCAGTATCACATTTTAATGTGCTTATTGGAGTAAATAAACACTAGTTTTTCAGCAAGCTGAGGCTTCAGCCTCATCCTTCTTTTATTCATAACATATTCGTAGTCTCTAAAGTTTGTTTCACACATTAATGCGGATGCGCTAAAAATCGCGTAAACAACATCTGCCAACTTTTTCAACCAACATAATTCAAAGCGCCAAATCCAATGTCACATGGTCCAACCCTTCTTGCTTCTGGAACATTCTTGTACAACTGCTCTAAATCTAATGGTATAAATTGAAATGCAGCGATGAGCGAATTCAGCTTCCATGAAAGTTGTCGTGTGAACGTGGTTTTTGTGCATCTTTTTGCAATTGCAAGCATTGTACCTTTCAAAAGTACGTACCGTACAGCTATTTTTAAAAGGTACGTACCGTACGTACTTGCCATCTTAGAAGTACATCAGCATTAGATACATGATAAAACCATTTGATTTTCAGGATTCTCCTCAGACATCTATGATGGAACACCTCAAATCTTTTCATCTGCGTCTGTGTGGTATTCCATACCTCACTTCCATAAAGCAGTACAGTGAGCACAGCCGCTTTGTAAATCCTGATTTTAGTTGGAGTCTTAATGCTGCGACTGTACCATATACTGCTAAGCTGATAGAATGCCCCAGAGGCCTTTTAAATTCGAGCTGATAGTTCTTTGTCAATTGTTCCATTCGCACTGATGATTGCACCCAAGTAAGTGAAATTGCTGACCTGCTGTATTGGGAGACCTTCCACATTGATGTCCATAGTTTCGTCTTTAGAATACGGCCTCTGCGATGCACTTTTGCTGACAACCATGCTCTGTGTTTTGCCAGCATTAATCTTCAGACCCGCATAGGCACTGTATTTGCAGAGAAGGTCAGTGGTTTCCTGCAGCCCCTCTTTTGAGTTATCTAACATGGCCATGTCATCAGCGTAATCAGTGTCCAAGAGATGTTTCTCTTCTACCCCGGGGGCTGGCAGCTGTAATAAAGCCCCCTTGCTAATGACTTTGTTTAGTTCCATAAGGTATGCCGAAAAATTCAAACAAAAGTTGAAGACTGGTGGTCCCTGTATATCAAATTATGAGATTTCTAAAATATTGTTTCAGGAGGGATCAGTATAAATACTGGGACAACCAGGAAGCCGATTTGACTGTCTTGACAGTCCCGCTCTTTGCTAGCCCTCAAGCTCCAGCATTGTTGACCACCCCGGCAACACCTCCGGCCCTGGTCCCGACGACACCTCCTACCCAGGTGTCAGCTACTCCCCCTCCCCCTTCTTACTATCAGACACCATATCTTGACCTGTAAGCGCTTTGTAATGTTTGATAAAGTATTTTATTTACACATTACACAGTTAAAGGTGTTTATGATTATATTAAATGACCTTTATTTGTTTGAAAACTGCTCAGAGGTTAACATATGGTTGGTTGGTTGATTATAAAGTGGACTCATTTACAAGAACTTGGAGAGGCACCCCTTAACGTCTGTGTACGTCTTGAACACATTTTATGTGGTAGAAGAAGAATTGTTTCAGTCAGCAATATTGCCTGCATCATAATTTGATTTCGCTAATTTATGCAATAGGACAATTTTCTGGAAATGGAGGTCCACATCGACTACGAATCCCAAAACGTGAGCTTTCCTCTTGATATCAGTATCACTTTCACCAATCACCATACCACCAAACTATCTTTTGTAGCTGAATAGCGGAAAGGAACAAAAGGATGAGGGGATCTGTTTGAGAATTCTATAGTGTGCAGCGAGAATTTTACTTCAAGAGCAGGTTTGAAGTTGTGTTTGCGTGTGATTTGCTTCAGATTGAGCAGTGGAATCCGGTGGAATTGAACAAAATGATAAAGGCTAAAGGTCGGAGGGATTAGCTTACAGCCATGAACAAATAAGAAGCTTCATTCATGTATGTAAAATGTAAAATGTATGTTGCATCTGGAACATCCACTTCTGATAAAGCAACAGGTTCTGCTTTTGTTTACTCAGACGTAAAGGACAGTACTGTATCTGACCTCAGATTGGGTACACAAAACCACCAATTCAACCATCTGTCGAATCATCATGTCGATTTTCATCATCAAAGTTTGTTTTCAACTTTAAAAGTTAAAACATGGTGTACATCACTAGCTGCACATAGTCATTACAAGTTTGCAATGTACGCACACAAAAAGAAAACTATGTTAACATTAAATTGTTACAAACAAAAAGTTATCCATTTTATGTTGAACGAATTTCCGGCAGAATTACCAATAAACTGTCTGATATTGTAATTACAGTTAATGCGATTACCGAGTTTTGTCCCATTATCTGATATATTACTCTACCATTGTTTTATATTAGTTGAGCATTTACAGCTGAATAGATCTTTACTTGAGCATCGCTTCTTTGTCTAAAGGTCAAACCAGAGTCGAAAATGAAAATTTGATACAGCAATTCTCTTAAGAATACGTTGAGACGGAAATTTGCCTATATTTTCAGATATGACAACCGCCAATTTGACCTTGACTGAGGACAACCTGTTCCGCCTATACCTGGAGGACGACACGAGAATGGAGGAAATATGCACGTTAATAAACCGCGTGTACATTGAGACAAAGTAAGCGAATTGTCCTAACATGAGATCAGCTACTATCAAGCTGACTGTATCGTTGCTAAAATAAAATATTACTAATTACATTAGTAATTTTTGTCATGGCGAAATCTAGGAGGCCGGGGCTAATTATAAATTTTAACTACTTAATTGTTGTCTATTTCAGGTCAAAATCACACACGAAGAAAGTCCAAAAAGGGATAGCTGAAAAGCTAATCAACATTCGCAATTCGATAGGTATGTTGGCACACTGAATTGTACAATTAGAAGGTTCAATTTAAAGCGTGAATTAATGTTCGAGGGCAATAACCGCTTGCACAACCAATCCCTGACCTGTGTTTCACTGTGTTTGAGAGATATTATCATCCTCTTTAAAGTTTAAATATGATGAATGCCAGCGTCTGCAATTTTATGTTTTATCGCATCGTCCGAAAGACAATTTACAATCACAGAATGTGAATCTTAAATAACTTCCTATCAGAAGTGATGGAGGACTTGTCTCAAAATGAGGACATTACAAAAGAAACATCAGTAGTGGTAACACTAGTCTTTAAAGTTCTTAAAGACACTAGTCTTTTAAGTTCTTGATGTGAAGTACAACTCTTACACCCAATCGGAGTTGAAAGATGTGGGACTTGACTTTTTAGCTCTAAATGCCGATGAAATGTTTGGAATCTTTTTCAGCTTCCAGCACGAAACCCACGAAAATTGGTAAGCCCCTTCCCTCCCTCCCTCCCCTCCTCCCTCCCTCCCTCCCTCCCTCCCTCCCTCCCTCCCTCCCTCCCTTCCTCCCTCCCTCCCTCCCTCCCTCCCTCCCTCCCTCCCTCCCTCCCTCCCTCCCTCCCTCCCTCCTTCCCTCCCTCCCTCCCTCCCTCCCTCCCTCCCTTTCTCCCTCCCTCCCTCCCTCCCTCCCTCCCTCCCTCCCTCCCTCCCTCCCTCCCTCCCTTTCTCCCTCCCTCCCTCCCTCCCTCCCTCCCTCCCTCCCTCCCTCCCTCCCTCCCTCCCTCCCTCCCTCCCTCCCTCCCTCCCTCCCTCCCTCCCTCCCTCCCTCCCTCCCTCCCTCATCCCTCTCTCCTTGGTCATTGTTGTTGTCATACTAAAAACGAATGTCGACAAATGTTGCAACAATACAGCAATTCTCTTAAGAATACGTTGAGACGGAAATTTGCCTAGATATTTTCAGATATGACAACCGCCAATTTGACCTTGACTGAGGACAACCTGTTCCGCCTATACCTGGAGGACGACACGAGAATGGAGGAAATATGCACGTTAATAAACCGCGTGTACATTGAGTCAGAGTAAGCGAATTGTCCTAACATGAGATCAGTTACTATCAAGCTGACTGTATCGTTTCTCAAATAAAATATTACTAATTACATTACATTTAAAAAATTCATTTTTTGTCAAGACGAAATCTAGGGGGCTAATTATAAATTTTAACTACTTAATTGTTGTCTATTTCAGGTCAAAATCACACACGAAGAAGGTCCAAAAAGGGATAGCTGAAAAGCTAATCAACATTCCCAATTGGATAGGTATGTTGGCACACTGAATTGTACAATTAGAAGGTTCAATTTAAAGCGTGAATTAATGTTCGAGGGCAATAACTGCTTGCACAACCAATCCCTGACCTGTGCTTCACTGTGTTTGAGAGATATTATCATCCTCTTTAAAGTTTAAATATGATGAATGCCAGCGTCTGCAATTTTATGTTTTATCGTCCGAAAGACAATTTACAATCACAGAATGTGAATCTTAAACAACTTCCTATCAGGATTGATGGAGGACTTGTCCCAAAGTGAGGACATCATAAAAGAAACATCAATAGTGGTAACACTAGTATTTAAAGTGCTTAAAGACCTCCAGAAAAAAAGAAAGGTTTGCGGTAACTCAAACTTCGGCGATCTAGCGTTTACAACGCCCATTATAAGGCATCCCCCTCCTGTGTGCCAACCAGCAGAGCTTTTGTCGAGACCTTTTTCCATTATAAGCTTAATTTATTAAAAAATCTCTACGCTGCACTCAATTGATTTTCTTATTCCACAGAAAGGGAGAAGCGGGTCCTCTTCGGACGAAAGAGGGCTGAGCAGCTGGGATTTTGAGTTCCTCAAAGCCCTTGATTTACTGGTGGACGAGGAAGTTTTAGCAAGAATAGACGAGGTACAATTGTGAATCTAGATTTATTCTGCGCAATGAAGTGATGCATAGTATATAATACCGTTAGAGATTCAAAAAAATCCTTTTGAGAACAGAAGAGCTAACTTTTGTTCTCAAAAAGTTAGCTCTTATGAGAGGTCATCTGAAAAGAACGTTATACAAATCCATAACTCAGTTGCAAGAGATGGGAGTTCTAGTTTGAGGACAGAGGAGCAGTGGCGTAACGTTAAGGGAAAGAAATCCCTAGTCACCAAGATTCTGAAGAGCCCTTTCTTTTCCATCATCCTTGACTCGACCCAAGATATCACCAAGGTATAATCACATTATCATCAATATTTCTCATGCCACACAGAACGTTTCTTGAACCACTGAACTTCAACACTTAACATGCCACTGATCATTCTTGATTATCGCAACGTTCTAACTTTGTTCAATGACAGTTCATTAATCATGATAGTTCTAAGTTCTTGCGCCCACACATTGTACTATTTAATCACTTTGACATTTCAGGTAGATCAGCTTAGCCTTATCGTTAGATGGGTTTCCATTTACGGTGAGGTAAAGGTGAAGGAGACCTTTCTGGGATTCGTATCAATGCAGTCGGGGAAGGCTCAAGTGGTAGCCGACACAGCTATCAAACTTCTTTCCGAGCTAGGATTTACTCTCGAGAAACTCCGTGGACAAGTTAGTTCAGAATCACCATTCACTTTATTGCAAGCAGTAACAGATATCGCTTGAAAGCCTGAGTGATAATGATAGATAATTCTAACGTTCAAGTAATGAATTCCTTGATCTCAGGGTTACGACGGGGCCAGTGTTGAGTGTTAGGTATGTCTGGTATTTACAGCGGTGTGCAGAAGTTAATATCCGACAAGATTCAAGCTCCCACACCCTTCGTCCACTGTTCAACGCACAACTTGAACCTAGTGATCCAAGACTGTGTGAAAGACAGCAATCACATGACTGACTTCTTCAACACGTTAGCTCAGGTATGTGATTTTGCGAACAAGACATAATGTACAATGTGAAATACATAATGCACAAGGTATAATGTACAGTACATAATGCTCCAAATGTTCATGACATAGAACAACCTGACAGTGTTATGATTTGCATTGTAGTATGTACTTGTAAGATGCGATTCAATTAGCCTGTAACTCAAAAAGTTTACGGCATGATCCAGGGAAATCAACAAATCGATGTGACAATTTACATCTCTGAGAACGCTGAAATTTTGGCCTCTGTGCAACCGGTTTTGAAATATCGCCATGTGTGGCACTTCTATACATATTTCTATAGTAATCTATTAAAATTAATTTTCAGTCTAAGGAGAGAGTTATATCCTGCTGAAAAGGCAACCTCCTGCTGAAAAGGCAACCTCTGCTGTTGGAGAGGCAACCTCTGTTGAAGAAGCTGTTCCCTTGAAATATTGGCTATTTTTTGTTACTTTGTTATCGTTATATTTGTCATTAGTTCCTTTAGTCGCAGTGTCGTCATTGGTGTACAGAAAATTCGAGAGAATATGAAATTAACAACGTTTGTGTTTTACTAGTCTGTCACGTGACCAAAATAGTTTTTTCCCTATAACTCTCCAGGGAAGCATTTTTACCCTACCTCCGCGTCTTGGAGGGTGATTCCGAATCAGCATAAAAAATACACCGATCTAGATTACTTTCATACCCGCAGCTCAGCGCCTTCTCACAAGAATTTTCAAAAATTTGGGTGAGTGATTTAGTGGCACATTCAAATAACTTGATTTTTGCATATTGCTCACTTTGCTGCTTCTGTTGGCATATTTCAGTATTGCCTGAGCAACTTTCAATAAATACCCGTCAACACAACACTGAGCTGTCTGAGCCTCATGTTACTTTGAAACAACATTACATTCTGAACTCAGTTGGGTAAAATTATTGTTTTTTGAAAAGTTTAACTTGCTAAACTTGGTTAATTGCAGGGCACAACCCCTTATAAAAACAGAGGCCAGTTGATGCTTACTCTGGGGGTCTCGGTCTGCTCGGTCCTCTAAAGAAGTAGAACTGTAAACAGAAGCTAGTCTGCCTCTATGAGCCTATGTTTATCCAAGGCATTTCGTGATAGTTAAAGGCGCGGTGCTTACCACAAGCAATTCAAACTAAAGCTTTACTGCTCAGAGAGACTTACTACAGGTGTAGGCTGTTGCACATCAGGTCATGTAAATCAAGATCCGAAGCATCTGTTGGTCCTGGTGTGCCCAATGATAATATGGGGTTTATAATTGTTGTGCACCAGACTTGCAGTTTTTACTTTTATTAAGTTGAATTAGTCTGCAGAGTAGTATGGGCACGTTGCATCTTTAAACCGATTACTGCACCTTATCAATATCAAGAATAAACATTTTAAACTTGGACATGAGTCTTGTAACATCCTGTATATAATAACCATTACCCTGTTTGATCATGGGACAATTCATCCTGAATTACCCCACTTGAAGATCGGTAATTCAAGAAAACAACAAATTTGTATTTAAATCAATTATAGCAACAACATTTATTCCATTACTCAGGAATTTTAAACTTTCAAACTTTGCATAGGATGAGCAGGATCTACAAACCACACAGAACGCTTGGCCTGGTATCAAATGATATCCCAGCAGTTCTGCAGACCAGAGGAGCAGAACACTTTGTTACAACATGTGTTGGGAGGTCACTCAACACATACAATGTTGGTGTCTTAACTTACAAATTATTTTAGAAGAACTTGCTGAATAAAGCAATTATGAATGTTTCTTTTTTAATTTTTATGATTAAAATTGTCGATTGTATCATGGCTTTAGAATTACTTTTATACAGCTATATTAATTCAACATCTTTGATGAAAATCATTTCAGTGTAAGAAGTTAACTCTACAATTTGTTTCTCCTCTCCACCATGAAAATATTGGCTGTCTTGCTGGGCACAAAGATTTTCTGTTTAGCTCAGTGGCTGACAAAGTATTCTCTTGGATTAGGGGAAAGCTTGTCAGAACGTATGTGGGTCACAGTGCAGATGTGACTCATCTGCTCCCTTTTGGAGATCACATTATATCTTTTGGTTAGTCCTTTTCAGTTATCAAAACCTTGGTATTTCTTACTCATTAATTTATTGGATTTATTGGTGTTCTGAACAAGTGAGACAACTCTTGCGATAACTGGAAATTTGTCTACATGCCTAACAATGATAAATAGTTAATAAATAAATCACAACATACACCCCCCGTAAAAATCAAATATAATTTAAAAATTTAACAAATAGAAACGCGCAAATGCGCGCGTCAGCTGAAAATTGTGCTTTTTATACGAATTAGCGCCATTTCAATGCGCAGATAAGGATACATTTGATAAAACATAGATAAAACATTGATAAAACTTCTCAAAAGTCACATACTCGCAAAAAACCAAATAATCGGTTCATATAAAAATACATTTTTCATAAACATGTGTTGTTCTGAAAGGCACTCATAAAACAAAAATTTGTAAAACACGATTCAACATGAATTTGTAAAACCTCAAATCTACCAAGTTATAAATCCGATTAATACCATAAAAATCACAATTCTATCATTCATAAACAAATATATCATTCATTAAACAGCAAGTCAATAAAGTTTCAACCTGCCTCAAACCGCGGAGGAGGTACTCCCTTATTAGTCCTCTGTGACCTACGTAATGCAGGGGTAAAGTCCGGTACCACAACATCCGACGGCGGAACAGCAGGGTTACACGTATTCTTAGTAGGAACAGAGCCACTATCTTGTCCGATTACAACAGGTCCTGCGGTTAATTCCCTATCAATAGTCTGTACTCCACCGCAATCAACAACAGAATTTTGTCCAGGGTCAATCTCAACTTGACCTGCCAGAGGAGCAATATCCCGAATCGATACCGAGGCCTCCCTTCCGGAAGCAAACCTAACTTTAGCAGATTCAGGCTGTAGTGAGACAATATCCACCTCTTCGCACAAATCATCGTACTTATTAGACCTCACGTGTTTCTTAAGAAGAACCTTGGATGCCCCAATAAGCCAAGAAGGTAGAGAATTATCTGTGGCAGATCTCCTAACATAACTAAATAATCGCTCATGAGGTGATTGATTAGTTGAGGTACATAATAAGGTGCGGATAGAGTGCAGAACTTGAGGGAGGATCTGTTCCCAGTGACATGGTGCTAATTTCTTGCTAGCCAACGCCAGTTCAATTCCTTTCCATATAACGGCATTATATCTTTCAACTTGGCCATTTCCTCTGGGATTATACCGGCTGCTATTTGAGAATCCAATGTTGTTCTCAATTAGGAATGATCTGAATTCGTGAGAGACGAGTGATGGTCCATTATCCGAGTGAACCATCCCCGGAGTACCGAACAATGAAAATAAATTCATGAGCGCCTTAATCACTGTCCTTGACTCTTGATCACGGCACGGAATGGCAAACGGGAACCTCGAGTACTCGTCAACTACAGTTAATATGAACCTGTTCCCTGTACCACTTGGTAAGGGTCCCTTAAAATCAATGCTCAATCGTTCAAAAGGTTGTGTTGCCTTAATCACTGGAGAGTTCTCGGACTTACAGAAACGTGGTTTAATCTTAGAACACACCACACATTTCGCGATGGTCTCTTTTACCTCCGCTAAAGAATAGGTAAGATTCTTACTCCTAACGAAGTGATACATTCTAGTGACCCCAGGGTGACATAGTTCTTCGTGAATCCGAGAGAGGGAAGGACCTGTATGATATGTAGCAGCACTAAATGCTCTTGACAAGCAGTCCGCGGTGACATTAAGCGGGCCTGGTCTGTACTCTATGTCAAAGTCTAGACAGCTGAGTTCAATACGCCATCGGTCTATCTTGCTGTTTTTAGTCTTTCCATGATTCTTTTTATCATATATGTACGAAACAGCCTGCTGATCCGTAAGTAATTTAAAGTGCCGGCTAACTAAGTAATGTCGCCACGCACGACATGCCTCCACAATAGCACAAGCCTCCTTCTCCACTGCATGATGTTTCCTTTCATGAGGCTTCAATGTTCGAGAAAAGAATGCCACCGGTTTTCCTCCTTGATTCAAACTAGCTGAGACTGCAAAATCAGAAGCGTCACTCTCTAGCACCATCTGCTCATTAGTGTTAGGGCAGACTACACAGGAACCCTCTATACACGTTTTCAGATTATTAAATGCCGTGATTGCCTCTTTCTGTAGGGGGAATTCCGGGTCTATCAGTTACAATCTTTTATTCTCAGTTACAATCTTTTATTCTCAGTTACAATCTTTTATTCTCAGTTACAATCTTTTATTCTAGCTTTTGCAACATTTTAATTGCTCTCTTATCGGTAGTGTTATCTCAACTTGCTGTTACACCGACACGTCGTGCTGTACGCCTTGGCTTTTGTAAAATGGATTTTTCCGTCGAACATCTGAACAGATTTGAAAAGGAGCTATCGTCAGCGATGAATGAGATTTTGAAGATGTCAAAAGCACAAAGCGTTACAGAACTGAATCATGCGAGATTAATGGCTGTAAATAAAGATCCCTTGGCTACTGCAGTTGAAAATCTTTCTAAGCTAATGACTAGTAATCTTGAACTTTGTAAATGTGCAGCCAGTACGATAGACAAACTGAAATCAGATCAGCTGAACTATCAGAAAGACCAGATTAAACAGCAACAGGAGCAACTCGACTCTTTTAAAACAACTGTTCATACCGAGATGAAGACAGCGTGGAGCGATATCGTGAAGAAGAACTGCGAGACAACTACAAGTACTCCGTCGATCAACAGTATAAAAACAGCTGTGAAAACCGTAGTTGAAGACGACATCCGTAGTAAGAATTTCATTATCTACGGTGTACCGGAGAATTATTCCCCTGATCCACACTTAGTGGCAGAAGAAGTGATCGAATTGATTTGGGAATCCTCAGGGTGTGATCCTAAAGTTGTGGCAGCAAATTCTATCGGGACTAAAACAACTTCAGGCAGTGGTAAACCGAGACCAATAAAAGTGACATTGGCTTGCGCGGAATCAGTAAAAATGGTTCTTGCTCGAGCAAGAAATCTGAAGAAATCTAAATGTACAGCGTACCACACATGGTACATCACACCTGACAGAAGCAAGGAGGAGAGAGCAGCTCATCAGAAACTTGTTGTCAAAGTAAAGGAAATGATCACTGATGAGCCAACAAAGTATCATTATATTAGAGACGGCAAGATTTTCAGTGTAGATAAGGTTAAGTTGTAACATTCGGTGTTTTGGATATCTACATAATTACTTTGATTTAAATGTGTGTATGGCTCTTATTTATGGCTGTTGCGTGTATTTGTTGATTACGGCTAATAACGAGGAACTTTTAATTGTGAGTTAAAAAACTGCAACCGTGATTGTAACTCAGGTATGTGATGACTTGTGGAGCACACATCGCTGAATAGCAATCGCGAAGCAGGTCTCACCAAGGCTAGGTATATTTAGGGTTTTTTATTTTTCTGAGGACACTTTGCCAGTAGTTTAACTTTTTGTGTTGTGTGCTACGATACAGTGTTTCAATTTTTTGATTATAGCACGGTATGTTCTATCTTTCTATTTATTTATCTAATTCTAATGTAATATTTCAATATTATAGTAAACATTAACCAGTGTACCAAAAGCTGGTCCCCAAACAAACAAACAAACATCAAAGGTCGTACCAAGTCCGAGAATTTTGGCACCCATTTAGCATAATAAGAGAATAAGCCCATGGCCCTTTTTAGTGAGTCAGCATCATGTGGTACCGGCAAGTCCCTCAACGGCTGCATGCGCTCAGGATCAGGACGGATAGTGCCGTGAGAAATTTGATAGCCCAAAATGTTGATAGTTTCAACTGAACTTATAGTCTTATCATGATTCAACGTTAGTCCCAACTTCTTAATAGTCGACAATAACCCCTTGACGTTTTTGTCGTGATCTTCCTGATCATAGCCCCCAACAGTTATATTGTCCAGATAAGGAAAAACACTATCTAACTTATTTTCCTCCACAAGTATGTCCATATTACGTTGAAAAACAGGCCCGCCAGTTTTAAACTAATTACTACACTACAAATCTATTACATTTATTGAGGCATGTAGACAAATATGTTCTGAACAAGTGAGACAACTCTTGCGATAACTGGAAATTTGTCTACATGCCTAACAATGATAAATAGTTAATAAATAAATCACAACAATTGGTCCTTCATCGGCTAAAGTAAGATAACCTTGCCATGTTCATTGTTCAATCGTCATTAATTGTGAACACATGACAGTTAAATGAATAAATCACAGCAATTAGAATTCATGCACTCATCATGCCTCATTTCATTGGCATTTTTAAAACATGACGCCACCTTGCAGGAGACGATAAGAGAATGATAGTGCACGATATTGAAACTGGGGAGGTTTACGCTGATATGTGGTTACAAAGCTGTGTGACTGCAGTTACTCATCCTGCTACTTACCTTAACAAGGTTTGTAGTTGTTATGAACCGAGATGGAAGCTAGCTTTCATGAAATTATATAATGCACCTTCATTGTTGGCTGTAAACAATAATTTAGACGACAGGTTCTTTAGCCATAAGGCAGATCATGTAGATAGGACCCTATAGGTTTAACCTCTGTAGGGGAAAGATTTCTTGATCTTACTTTTAACCTACTCTATGGCTAGGTTCTGCTGGGGAACAAAGACGGAGTGATGGAGCTTTGGAATGTAAGGACCTTGAAGCTGATCCACCAGTTCAAACCTCTTGGAAGTGCAGTCACTGTTCTTACTCAGGTTTTATTGGCTCCATAACCTTGTTTTATATAATAGTCAATAGATACTACATAATGTTATAGTGGGTTTAAATTTATCACCAACGTCACGTCTAAGAAAATTTGGAACCTAATTCAAGATTTCTAGTACACTTTTTTTTTGTAAAACAAAGATCAGCGAATTGTTTTCTCAAACCAATTTTCTTTCAAATTTTTCAAAGAAATTACACTCTTCCCTGTTCGTCAGTCACCGGGGATAGATATAATCGGAGTGGGTTTGAAAAGTGGAGAAATCCTCCTGCACAATCTCAAACATGATGAAACAATGATGAAGTTCTACCAGGATTGGGGATGTGTCACTTCTCTGTCCTTCAGATCAGGTTCGGTTGAACAAATTGTCAGGAGCTATCTTAAATTTATATAAGATTATAAATCAGACGTGAAAAAATATTAGATCATGTGGTACAGTACAGAAAATTGTACACTTTAAATTCTTACTTAGATATTTTATCGCACCTAAACTTAGATCTTTATCTACTGAAGATTAGGAAGCTTGGGCCTCAGGCTAACCCTCTAAAACACACCCTCTAAACCATCCTCTAAAACCCTCCTCACCCTCTCAGACGGAATAGCACACATGGTATCCGGCTCCACGGAGGGACACTTAGCAGTGTGGGATTTGGAGCGTCAGGAACTAAACAGCACCATACACCACGCCCATCACTCTACTGTGGCCACCTCCCACTTCCTCGCCTCTCAACCCCTCCTCTTTACTGCTGGAGATGATAACGCTATCAAGATATGGGTGTTTGATGGTCCAGGTTGGTTTTTCTTGTTTTCTTTTGGGCCATGTTTGTTTATCAGCCTGGTTTTGTTTTTTTATCTTAATGTTGCATAGAAACCCGTAATAGCATGAATGTATCTGTCCACCTCAAATTTTCAGTTCATTGATTTCTCTCCACCCTTTACTTTGGAGTAGTAAAATGTAAACAGCAACTAGTTACACAAATTCAACATCTGTAAGTTCCTCCCTAAAATAGAGACTAACTAGTATACAAGATCACCAGGCACTTCTATCAGCACATCCCTTCAGGTGGTACAGCTAGGTTGCTGAGAGAGCGCTCAGGACACAGAGCGCCTCCTACCATTGCACGGTTCTACAGCGCAACTGCGGAGAACATTCTGAGCGCAGGGCATGACAGGAGCGTGAGGATGTTCAGTGTCATCAAGGATGAGCGCAGCAAAGAACTTAGTCAGGGTGAGAAATGTTATTTAATGATCTTTTCGAAATGTTCTCTTTTGATTGTTTGAGTCAGGGGATACAAACTAGAAAGTTGATACCTTTATTATATAATTCATCACAAACTGAAATTTGAGAAACTTAATGTTTACCTTGACAGGGTCTATGGAGAGTAAAAGTAAGAAGATTAATGTTCGAGTAGAGGAATTGAAGCTTAGCCCTGTCACTGCACTTGCAGCAGGTTTGTTATTTTTGGTATTTCAAATTATATGGGAACATTCTGGAGAACACCTTTACTAACAATAACTGTGTTCAGAGGAGATAAGGGAACGAGAGTGGAGTAATGTGATAACAGCGCACTCAGGGAGCAGGGACGTGCGCGCGTGGAGCACCTTACAGGGCGCACTCAGTGACAAACCGCTCTCTCCTAAACTAGAAACTATCGTCGTCACAGTTTGTTTTATTTGTTTTATTTGTTTTATTTTTTATTCGTTTTATTTGTTTTATTTGTTTTATTTGTTTTATTTGTTTTATTTGTTTTATTTGTCTTATTTGTCTTATTTGTTTTATTTGTCTTATTTGTGAGAGTTCGGAAATTTACTAAAACAAAGAAGAGTTTTAAAATTATAGCTTTTACTTGGTTTGGATGTTATCTTAAATAGATCTGAATTGTACATTAATGAAATGTGTTCGTATTCTTCAGGCAGTATCAATTACAGTGTGCGGAAACATAGCCATAGTTGGGTACAACTCTGGGCATCTCACTGCTTTTAATATACAATCTGGTATCAACAGGGGACTTTTTGGAAAAATTCATGGTGAGCATATTTAGAATATTTTATCGTAAGGAATGATATGATTAGCACTTCATTTTACTCTCGGTTGTAATGTTCAGAGGGTATTTGTAAAAAAGCAAAAGAGACGCTAATTCAGACGTTACGATAAAGTGCCCTTATCTTGGGTCTTATCAGTATGATAGTTACAGAATAAAGAATGAATATCGTTGCTGAGTTTGTTTATGTGTTATTATGTTGTATAATTGTTCAGTTTTGTGTGGTAATAGTAAATCAGTAAATGTAACTGTACTAATTTATAGATTGTATCCTTGATATCTTAATATATTCTCAGCTCACAGAGGAAAAGTTGTTGGAGTAGCTTCTGATAATATCAATAAGTTTGTCATCAGTGTGGGACACGACACTCAAGTTAAGGTATGTAGTGGGGGGGGGGGCTCATGTACTTAAATATCTAAATATACTTTGCCATTTTAGTTTGAAATGAATAATATACTTTTGGATATATCGGTGATTTTCCATTTTTAGTGCTTAAAAATATCTCAATCATGTCTCAAGCCATCCATGATTAACTGAATAATTGTTAACTAGAGAGAAATTCTGTCAAAACTGTGAATTTTCTGAACAGAAAATTGTATATCATGTGTACAGTAAAACCCCAATTTACCGCGACCCAATTTACCGCGACTCAATTTACCGTGCCCCAATTTACCGCACGTAATTTCTTTCCTCCGGATGTTTCTTGAAAATTTGCCTACATTTTATTTCGAAAAAATTAGACTTTATTTCCGAAAATATAAGATTTTCTAAGTTACCATTATCTTGAAATAGGAAATTTGATACAAGCTGGGTAAGTAAAAATATTAACTTGGATAAAGTTATCGATTATCGAACAGTTTGTTTGGCAACAGCATCTGGACCACCACTTCTCACGTATTCATGTTCTCGTATAACCCTTTTACTTCGTTCACTGTGATGCTTAACGGCAATTTCCTATACCAGGGCACGATTGGGTTTGAGAATGATTGGTTTTACTGTATTTAGATATTTAGTTAACTTCAAATATTACCATTTTCTGAGTACATTTACTCGCAAATCACATCAGCTGGTATACTATCTTTTGGCAAGTTATTTTACACTTGATCACGTGATTCTCCTCTCCTCAGCTGTGGGACCTGAGTGCCCGAAAAGAGTGCCACACCCTCAGTCTGCCACACTCTGCCACACACAGTACACTACACAGGGACAGTAACTTGCTGGCTGTCTCACTGGACACTAACACTGTTTGTGTTGTGGATATTGACACTAGGAAGGTTGTCAGGGAGTTTAGACATAGTGATTCTGTTCTTGATATGGTACGTGATTTTTAGATTTACGTTTAATGGCAAATATTGGTTTTTATTGCAATATTACAAACATTTTGTGACTTCGAAAAATCTAAATTTATATAACAGACACTTTAACGAAAGTCTAAAATAAACCTTTCTTACAATGTTTCAGTGTTACAGTGTGGATGGTAAATCACTGCTGGTGTGTTCATCAGACTCTACAATACGGCAGTGGGATCTCATTACAGCTCGACTAATCGACTGTTTTAAAACTCACGCACTCGTTACTTCTATATCCCTGTCTAAGGAGAACCTCGTCACCACTCATCACAACGAACTAGGAATTTGCTTGTGGTAAGTCTTTGGATTTTGCGATTATTTTAAATGGTTGGACATGTAAATTTTAACTTTAAAACATCTTGTCTCGGTCTTTTAAAGACTACTGACTAATTACGTAGTAAACAGCAATGTTTTAGGACAAACAGGACGCTGTACGAAAACGTGGAGTTGAGACCTTTACCCGACGACTATGAACCGCGCATAGTCGATCTATTAGATGCAGAGATACCTACAGACATGGGTATGTCTAATGTAGCACTGGGAACAAGTTATACTTTTCTGAAAAACTTGTTTGACGGGATCCTTTGAGTGTAATCCTTGTTAATTGTGCCATCTTTCGGGCGGGAAAGTATATTTGGAATAAATGGAACACGCGGATAAGTTTTTTATGATGCACAGCATGGTCAATAAGCGCGCAGTAAAATCCTCAACGCGCGCGCGGCACGGCATGGCCATATGGCATGCATGATATGGGCTGCATGCATAATGCATATCATGTTTGGCAATTTTACAGCAAATCGATTACGTACGCCCTAATTGTTACAGTTAAAAGCTAGTTGTACATTTAATTGTATGTACTCTGACTTGAAAATGAGCCAAACTTAGGAAACAGTAAACGGAAACCAGCTAGTACTTAGTAGTACTGTACCGTCTGAGGTATTCTGTTTACTTACCATACAATAAAATTAAGTAGAAGATCTGCGATTTGTTATCTGCTGCTTCAAGTCCGTTCATGTGAAATTCGTTTAAGCCCAACATTACTTCCTTTTTTTGCTGCTGCATGACAATTTGAACACGTGATCATTCTAAGATATGTAAAGTTAATATTGATCATGCATTTCCATGTACGACTCATGTGGATTCGTCTACTCAGATCACCGGTGTGTCTGAGCATATGATTTTACATCTATTCTTGGCGAAGTTGCTGTTTGTTTGCGATGTGTATTCTTTCCATGTGCACTGTCGGTTGAATATGTTTTGCAGAACGGACTACTTTCAACTTTCTTACGCTCGGCGAAACCGTTTTGTTCTACTTATAATCTGATATTTATACATTTTCAGAAGTAGAGGATTCCTCAGCAGAAGAATGGAAGAGCACAGACCAGATAAACGAGTCCCTGATAACTTTGTCTACAGTTCCAAAAGCTAGGTGGACTGCGTTGTGTAAACTCGATATCATCAAGGTACAATATTTTACCGACTAAATAGTAGGAATATGTTATCATAGTGTGTATTGTGTTGTCCATCTTTTGAACTGATGTCTGCAGGATATTCAGGGGTTAAATACATGCCCGATGCCGTTATTTGAGAGTTTTTAGGGTGTTTTATGGCGACTTCCATTTTTATTTCTCAGAAACGTAACAAGCCAAAAGCTCCCCCAACTGGTCCCAAAGCAGTTCCATTCTTCCTATCAACTACAAGAGAGCTGGTACCAAAGTTTGTCTTGGAGGAAAATGAAGCGGAAGAAACTGAGAAAATGAAAGCTGTTAGGTAAAATGTTCAGGTCACTGCCCATTTTTCACATATGTTAGACAATGAATCGTTAGACTTAGAATAGGTCTTTTGCAGAGTGCAAAAGCTCGTACACAGTCATGAAATGCACATAAACAATCAACACTTATACCTCACAACATTTACACATTGTAATTCTCCATGCACCCACACACAACTACAATTATCATAATCATATGTTTCTCTTCTATTCTCTCATCATGACTTACCTTCTCCCAATTCGTCTCTCCACGACTAAGGTCCATTGAACACCTATCCCCTAGATTCAAATATTTCATTCCACTCTACTCTTGACAGCCACGTTAATCTTAATACCATTTCTTTGCTTGCTCCCACATCAAACTTTTCTTTTGTAATTAACTTCCTCAAGGTTTATAAGAAATGTTCTTCTCCCTGGTAAGATGAATAGAGACCAAGTAATCCCAGCCGCCTCAATGCGTCTAGTATCTTTATTCATCCTTTGGTTTCTCTCTTAACTTTCTTTTAGATAACTCTTGGTAATCCGTTCTATCTAAAACCAGGTCCAACTCCCTATCTATACTCTACTCAAATTTCCAAGGTCTTATTCCTTTCAGTAACCTAATCTCCTCCCATCCCCTTCTAGAAGGAAATAATATATCCGAACTTCAATCCTTTGCTAACAAGAGCAGCAAGATCTAATTGCCCTAATTGAGACTTGGCTCTAAAAAACTATTCAGCAACGAAATCTTTCCTACCTTCTCATTTTTAAAAAAAATTGGGGGAAAAAAAAACAAAAAAAAAAAAAATCTTCGCAATGACCGCACGAGAAAAGACTCATCCTCAAGACCTAATAACCCTAAAAGTTTAGGAAAATGGAGTGGTGTTCTATTGGCTGTTCGGTCTGATCTCGATGCCACTAACAACCTCGACTACCATTAACCCCTAGTGCAAAAAGCTTGCCGTAAAATGCTTTTCCTAACAAAGAGAGTATAGTACTTTCTGTACTTTGTTAAAGAGTAAGGAACTCTTGGTTACCTATTCATGATGTCATAGTTTTCGTTCTATTCCGCAAGCTAGTTTCCAAAAAGAATCCCCCTAAAATCTATGTTATTTGGTGATGTTTAATCTCCCCATACAGACTGCTATCTTCAACCATGTACCGTACCTAATTGAGCAATCCCTTCAAAAGATTCTTTCAGTGATCTTTCACTCTCCCAGTTAGATCACTTCACCCACCCCAGAAAATGGATAATTACATTAGACATTCTTCTCAGTAATTATGATAACACAATTCGATAACTTGAATGTATGTGATCCTATTCCGTGGCAAATCTATCATTTTCCTGTCACTTTTTTCAATTAAAACTCTTTTCCCCCCCAAGAAAACTCCTAACGTAAAATCTATAATTATAAAAAGCAAACTGGGAATGATTAATCGTGATTATGCCGATAATTGGCCAGTCCTAGAATGCCTAGATCCTGAATCGTCTTGGTAAGTTAGTTTTAAAGACTGCATATAATTAAGTTGATATACATATTCCTAAAGTACATTTAAATCAAGTTTCAACCCACGTGGTTCCAAGTGATACTTTTTTTCTTCATGCCGTAAAAATGGATAGACTCAATATCTAAATTTAAATTTCTGGTTCTATTTCTGATATTTAAAGATTTTACTAGCCGTAAAGGATTTAAAGAAGGCTTTCCATCAGCCAAAATAAGAGACAATCTTTTCAATAGTGATGATCCAGCGCTAATAACTAAGAAGTTTTGTACATTTTAATATAAATCTAACTCCTGCCTAATCCTAATTTGTTAGATATTCCTGGACAGCTTCCGTTCAAAACCCAAAGCTCAAGCTGAACTTTCAATCTTTCTTTTATAACCAGTTTACGGGAATCCTTCACTTTATGAACACGTACACCTAGTCAATGATGTTGAATTTTGATATTGACTTCGATAATCGGGAATGTTCTACTTCTTTCAAATAATAATTCAAATAAAGCCCAGGACCAGATGCATACACGGAAAAATTTCTCAAAATTGTTCCTAGGATTAGCTTACCTCTTAACATTGCAATTTTTCGTGGATCTTACAACAGCGTACATTCCACAAGAATGGAAACTTTGCAATGTTGTCCCAATATTTAAGAAAGTAAGAAAAGTGAGGTTGAAAACTATAGACCAATAACCCTTACTTGTTTAGTCATGAAAGATTTTTGAGCGCATTTTAAACGTAAACTGCTTTCTTTGACAAGTCCCCTTCTTGATCCCAGCAGCATTTTCTAGAGCACAAGTCATCACAACCAATAGGTTGACTTGTGATAGCCAGGCATTGTCTCTTAACGAAAAATTATCAATCATGTGTGTATTTTGATTTTGCTAAAGGCATTTATTCTGTAAATCATGATATCCTTCTTCATAAGCTAAAGGACTTATATACCATGGATGGTAACACTTCTCAAATTTCTTTACCAATTACCTTCAAGCCGTTACCAAAGAGTTTGTTATATGTATGAATTCCATCTACCCCTCAGTTAATTCTGGTGTCCCCCAGGCACTAATCTTGCCCTTACTTTTTGTATTTTACAATGATATATCCTCTTGGCCTTTCGGATAATACTGATATTGTTTTTTGTATGCCGATGATACAAAAATCGCTAAAAAACATTCATCTTCTGATAATTCTAATTATACAAAATGGATATAACGATCTCTCTGACTGGGCACTAAGAAACAAAATGCATTCCATCCAGTCAAAATGGAAGTGCTTATTGTTTTCAAAAACCATCTTTACCCTCCATTCGCATACAACTTGATGGCTCTCCTCTTGTGTATGTAGATTAGAAAAAGATCTTGGATCGATGTTACTCCAACTAAGTGGAATATCCCAGTGCCGACAGAATTTTCTACTAAGCCGCCAACAACTTGGTATGGTCAGAAGAGATGGCCAAATTGTCATTGATCAAAACGTCGCCGCGCTTCCTCTCCCTGGTTCGTAGCCAATTCGAAATTGTTCCATAATCTGCCCCTTTAATAAATCACCTTATGAGAAATTTAAAAGTCTCCAAAAGAGAGCTATTTAATATTCTGTCTGAAGAAGTGGCCCAGTTATCCACCTGAGCATTATGTCAAAAAAGTGCAACTTGGTGACCGATCTCCCTTTGTCTCAAATTTTGACTTAAGATCTTATTTTTTCCACAAAGTTCTTACAATTTTAATTCCGTATCACGCCCACTAGCTCTCTTTTATCAGGGCACTTTCACGACTAAGACTTGCCACCTCACAGTCTGTCTATTGTGTCATCAATTTTACCTAGATAAGTCAGAATTCACACATCAAACAACCCCACCCCCACCACATGTACTCAAATACCCACTGCAAAATCATTTTTCTACAGAACCATATACTGAGAATGGACCCCTTTTACAGTAAACAGATGTGTCTACTTAGTCGTGTTCAAATCTGAGTCACTAGCATCTATAAATGTTTAATGGATAGAAACAACAGTCTAGCCTAGTCTCTTTGCTCCCCATATTATTATTATTATTTGTTTTATTAATGTTTTTTATCTACCTTCCTATAAGTCAACATCATATCACACTCACCGCACACCTCCAAACATTAATACCATTTCAACCTGTATCTATGTATCTGGAATTTTGACGTATTAAATACAAATTTTACTCTATATCCACAGTTATTCACCATGATTTGTTTGTATAAATAGTTTTTCATAAATTTTTGATTTAAGGTTTCAGTAAATGTCAATTTAATGCGACCATATTCACTATTGTTTAACCGTTTAGGTGCCAATTCATATTACAGAGGGTGCTATATTTTGAACGAGTCTATTTTATATTCATCTAATGCTGTTACTCTGTAAAATTTAAAGTATTTTAATAAAAAAAATAAAAATAAACTCAAACTTTAACTAAATCAAAAACTAAATCAGACGAAACGAAACGAAATAGGAAACGAAAAAATACAAAACAAAACATAATTAAATAAAATTCCTAAAAGCAGTTTTCATCAGCAAAAACTTTTGTGTGCCTACATTTCCATTATGAGTTCCCTCCTCCTATTTAATAAGAATGCCATCTTTATTTAAAATATTAAATTTTTCATAAGCAAGATACAATCTTTCGTACCCCCCTTGTACGATGCGATGTTGATTATTTTCCAAGATATTTAAATGGTGGTTTGTTTATCTTTCAACCTCCCATATTTTCTTAGATAGCTCCGTCTGATTTTCGTACTTCTCGATTGAAAGAGCTTTGTGTGAACTGAAACGTCTTAAAATTTTCAGTAAGCCCAATATATTTTGTGCTCCTTTCTTTACATTTTCACTCAATAGTTGCTTCTATATCCTCTGCTTCCAGGCAATGTCCGTTCATGGGCACATTCCGCTTTCTTCTCAATTGCATCGTTTTTCGATTTAATTGTATTCTTTTCTGAGCCTGTGTCCCTGGTGCTCGCTAAGATGGATCCTACTTGGGGTGGCAACTGTATGATAGCTTAATTGTTTTCTGTTGAACATTTTGTGAAATTGTTCCTCTTGAAGTGCTTGTCTAGTAATCGAGAAACTCTTGCCTTTTTGTTGTTACATTTCAGAAAGCCGAAATGTCCCACAGAACGACAGTATCTGCCGAACAGCAGGGTATAATATGAACCAACTATTGCAGGGAAAAATGTAAAAGTAGACACTTTCCCCAGAGACAACCAATTTCACAAAATTTCAAACAGAAACACAATCAACTATCATAACAGTTGCCTACCCAACTAGGATACATCATAGCGAGCACCATACACAAGCTCAGAAGAACCTACAATTTAAACGAAAACCAATTGCAGAAAGCCAGAAATGTCCCCACAGACAGCGGACAATGCCTGAAGGCACAGTGAATATGAAGCAACTATTCAGTGAAAATGAAAAGAAAGAGCCCAAATATATTGGGCTTACTGAAAACACTTTAAGACCGTTTCGGTTCACACACAAGCTCTTTCAAACCGAAACTACAATTCA